TGCATTGGTCCTGACTGTACCAGGTCCTTTCTATAATGGTACTGACTGTGCCAGGTCCTGTCTGCATTGGTCCTGACTGTGCCAGGTCCTGTCTATATTGGTCCCGCCTGTACCTGACTCCACTGTACCAGGTCCTGCCCGTACTGGTCCTGCCTACACTGGCCCTGCCTGTGCTGTTCCTCTCTGTACCTGGTCTTGGTTCTGCCTACACTGGTCTTGCCTGTATCTGGTCCTGCCTACACTCATCCTGCCACACCTGGTCCTGCCTGTACCTGGTCTTTTCTGCTCTGGTCCTGGTCTTGCCCGCATCTGGCTGCGGGAAGCAGTCAGTAGCCTATTCCCATGTGGCACCCACCTGCACCCTAGGGTCCACACTTGACTCTCCAGCACAGATGTGCTCCCTGGGTCAGCCCCTTGCTGGGGAGGGACAACACCAACCTCTGTTCTGACTGTGGCCAACTTGAGACCTGGCTGCCCCGTCAGCATGTGCCAGTCACCTGCCTGGGAGCTCCAGGAGTGACGCCGGCTTCTACTCCGCCTCCCCCTCCCCCTCCCCGGATCCTCCACGCAGGTCTGAGCATGGACGTGTCGTCACGGGGTCTTCCTGCAGCTGAGCAGCTGCGGGGACAGGGCACAGATGCGAGTGAGAGCCGTGTGGCAGCCACACCAAGGCAGGCTCACCCAGGAGACCTGGGTCTACACACCAGGGTGTGACACTAGCAGAGTGGTGGGTAGAGACACCGGTGAGGAAGGACCAGAGTCAGCTTCGTGGCTTCTGGGTCTGCCCTGGCCCTGTCCGCGGCTGCACCCCTGTGCCCACAGGTGGCCTGCATTCCTGCTGCCGTGGGCCACAGCCTTTTCTTTCTATGAGCACTGCTCCTCTGTCATAGAATATCTGCAGGAAGAGCCCCTGCAGGCTGGGAGCCCACCTCTAGGGAGGTTTCTCCATCCAGAGACACCAGGTGCCCCCCACACTGAGCCCAGGCCTGGGGCTCCCACCACGAGGGAGGCCTGAGGACACTTGCCCTGAGGCAGAAGGTGCAGCTGGCCCTGGGGGAGCATCTGCAGGACATGAGGAGCTGGAGGAGGGTGTACCTGGGCTGGAACTGGTCCACCCGGGCTCTCTGCCCCAGTGCGGTCCCCAAGGGCTCCAAAGTCCGGAGTGTTTTCTTTTTAGTGTGTGGATACTGGGGATTGAACTCAGGGGCATTCAACCACTGAGCCACATGCCCAGCCCCATTTTGTATTTTATTTAGAGTCAGGGTCTCACTGAGTTGCTAGCGCCTTGCTTTTGCTGAGGCTGGCTTTGAACTCATGGGCTCCCTGCCTCAGCCTTCTGAGATGCTGGGATTATAGGCGTGCACCACCATGCCTGGCCTCTTGTGTTTTCTTAAACAAGGGATACTTCTGCAGGGAAGTATCTGTAAAGCCACCCAGTCCCTTTCCCCGAGCCCCCAGCCTTCCAGAATGGAGATGTTCCTAATTTAAAACTGCCTGAGTGTGAGACAAGCATAGAGAGCCTCTCACCGAAGTGTCAGGGTGGGCCGTGGGGGAAGAGGCCTGCTTCATGGTCTGCGAGAGCAGGACTTGATGCTCCAACGCCAGGGACATTCCAGAACTCAGGTTTATCTGCAGTGCACCTGCAGACAGGCTCCTATCCGGAAATCCTGTGTGAGCCTGTCCTGCCCTCTGGGTTGTGACCATGCAGTGGTGTTTGCTGAACTTCGTCCACCAGGTTGGGTGGACAGAAGGTGCAGAGAGAGGGCAAGGCAGGTACACCTGGTCACTGCAGCCTTGTCCCGCACAGTGTGCAACACCAGCTCCAGGAAACACAACTTACCAGTTTGTTCGGGTATCGCAGCACCACAGGCTGGACAGGGACACCAGGGATGAAGGCACCTGCCAAAGAGAGGACCACCATCTCACTGCCAGCCTTCCACCAGGCCTTCCAGTGGACTCAAGAGCAGGACCACTTCCACTGGTGGGCGCTGCCCCAAAGACCCAGGGGTCTTGGCACGGAGGAGCACAAGAGGCAGACCCGCGATGCATGTCTGGCTATCACCCCCAGCCCCTGGCCAGTCCCTTCCTGGAAGTGTGCAGCCTGGAAGTGTCCTGGAGGCCAGCCTTCCGTCCTGCAGAGCAGGGCCCTGGCACTGCCTGGTTGTGTGGGCAGCTCGGCCCGAGGGCCTGGAGGGGGGCAGCGGGGCCTAGGAAAGCCAGTGGACGTCAGTCACCTGCCCTGCTCAGTTCACACACACACTGTGCAGTGTCCTCCAGTGGACAGCAAAGCTCCACAAATGGCCTTGTGAGGCTCTATTTCTGTCTTAATTTATGTTTAAAGCTTTATAAGAAAACAAAAAACAATGTCAACAACAAACACCCAGCTGTCAGGAGAGCCCAGATAAAAGGCACAGATGGACGTCGCAGGAGGACACTGTGGAAGTGCCTCCTGCCTCCAAGGGCCCTCTCATCCATCAGTAAAGGGATTTGGGGCTGCTCTTGGCTCGGGCTTCTGCACAGCTGCCTGCACACGGGGTGGCGGCAACACTGTCTCTAAGGCCAGTTCTCTGCCTCTAGTGGCCGACCAGAATCAGGGCTGATGGCCCAGGCTGCTAAGATCCTGCCTTGTGCAGGACATCCACCTGCAGTCGGTGTCTGGCCTTCGCCTCCGTCCCTGGCCTGACCACTGGGCTCACCTTGGCGTCTGGCATGGCAGGCGCCTCTTCTCCTGTGGGCTCAGCAGCAGACAGAAACAGCTCCTCTGCTGTTCCTGTGTGCCTGATGGAGGGACGGCCCTGCACCAGGAGAGGGCCAGATGGACCTGGCTCCAACCCAGCACTGGCACCTGGCAGAGGAGGCCAGATCCTCGGAAGCGCTTGCTGGTGAAAGCAGTGCTACCTCTTGGGACTGAGCACGGGGCGTGGCATTTGCTGTCCTGGCCCAGCCGACCCTCGTGACGATGTGTAATGGTACCACCAGTATAACTCAGTAATAATCAAAGGGAAAAACTTTGTTTCAAATGTCACATGTCCATTTTGGAATTCAGGCAAAACATGTGCATTTGAACATGCGTGTCAGGTGAAGGTGGGAGTTGGGGGGGAAACAGACCCCGGGGCTGGCACAGCTCAAAGAGCAAGGCTGCTGATGCCCGTCCTGAGCCCCCGAGCGGACCCCAGCAGGGGTGGTGGCTCCTCCCAGGTTTCAGGGCCTGCAGACCACTGGGGTCCCACAAGTGCTCACACTGGCTGGAGCCCCGTGTCTGCCTGGCTGAGCCATGGCAGGGCAGAGAAACCACACGGCTGCTCCCACAAGGAGGACAGACCCCTCCATGGTGGCCCACCACCTGGAGAAGCTAGGACCAGTCTCCAGCCACCTTCATCCTGAGGCTCCGGGGGCCAGCAGCTGGATGCTGTGGCACTGAGGGCCCAGGACATGGTGGCAGCAGGTCCTGACCCCGGCTCCTCAGGCACCGTCCTGGGCTATGAGCCCTGGGGACACCCCGGAGCCTGCCTGTCCCCAGACTCTGCCCACCATGTTATCTTCACCGAGACCCTCACAAGTGCTTGGCTGATGCCCACTGCACGGCTTGCGGCACCCAACCCTCCTTGGTCTTCTGTGATGCTGTCCACCTGCTCATGGGCTTGGCTCTCCCTGGGTCCACAGTCCTCTGCGGAGGGAGACTCCTCTCAGACAGTGCTCCCCTGGCCATGGTGCTCCAAGGAAGGGGCTGGCAGTGGGGCTGCCCCTGGCACTCTCCCTATGTGGATGCAGACCCCAAACTCACTTCCAGGTCCGTCTGTGGTGGCTTTGATGATGCACCCCAGTCTCAAAGTACCAAGGTCCCCTTTAGATGGCCCTGGAGATGCCCAGTGGGCCACAGGCCACACCTAGGGCCAGGGGTTCTGAGTGGGGGTCTCACAGACCCCTGCGTGACGGGGCCTCCTGTTCCCGGTCACTAGCAGAGCACTCCCCACCCCGCTGTGCCTGCTCCAGATCAGGGCAGCGCAGAGCATGGCTTTCCACTGCTGACCCCGCCGCTGCCCATGGAAGCTATCCCCTGCCCTCTGCGCTCAGAGTCGGGCACGAGGCCATGTGCGTCTGCAGAGGAGCTGCAGCCAGGCACCGGGATCACGAGCAGCATTGGTAGATGGAGGACTCCAGGAGCGCAGAGGGAGACAAGCTGCCGAGCCTCAGGCAGGGCGGCCCCCGACAAGGCCCAGAGCAGCCTGGGACCTGCCCGCACACCAGGGTCAATGCAGGTCACAAGAACCACCCGCCTCCAAATGCACCCACTAACGAGCACACGGGGCTGTGCAGAGCTCCACACAAGTTCGCCAGCATCACCGAGGACTCTGCCCACCCTCTGCTGCAACATGGCCACAGCCAGGGCAGCCCACAGGAGGCCCGGGCGCCTGTGCGTCTGGTGCCCCACTCTGGTGAGAAGGGTGCAGTCCAGCTGGGCTTCGAGGGCAGCGCAGGTCTCTGCCCCCCGGTTCCCCTGAAGAGCAACGGCAGGTGGGAAGGCAGCACTGGTACAAGTGGAGGCTGAGCCAGCCGGGGAGGCAAGGAGGCCCCACTGACCGGTCCCTGCTAACCTGGACCTGAGCAAAGCTACCCTCACACCCCAGTCAGAGTCCCGACTTCTACAGCTTCCCTCACACACCTGAGTTAGTGGCCCGAGTTCTAGGATTCTGTGATTTTTAAAAATTCTTCTTCATTTAATTATATTTGCTTTTTTTAAAAAAAATATCTATTTTTTAGTTGTAGCTGGACACAACACCTTTATTTCACCTATTTATTTTTATGTGGTGCTGAGGATCGAACCCAGGCTCCCGCACACGCGAGGAGAGCGCTCTACCGCTGAGCCACAGCGCCAGCCCCGGTATTTTCTCTTTTTAAAAATGGTGCATTAAAATTATCTTGTGACTCAGGAATATTTCTGAGAACCCCAGCATATATGAGAGTAGCAGAGATTTTTATGATCAACATATGACATTACTTAAAAATATCACTTTAATGTTTTCCCCTCCCAGAGGAGAAAAATGAATAAATAAGAAAACAACCTACCAGGTTTGAAGGTAATTAAGCAGGTCCTATTTGTACACGTTCCTTCTGGAAAAATCATTATCTTGAAATAGAAAAAAAAAAAAGTCAGCATCAGGCCACACACGATCATTCAGGAGCTCGGGGCACGGGACGCGCCCAGGACTCACTCCAGCCTCCTGGTTTTAAAGATGTAAGTAGGCAGGAGCCTGCATCTTCTCACACGCCCCTGGAGCGGGGGTCACTGAGGGGCCACCCCAGGAGCAGCTAACACAGCACCCCACGGGAGGCTGCGGTGGTACTCGCAAAGGAAACGTGCTGACGGGAACAGAGGCAGACAGCGGGGGGTACTGCGGCTGGAGGGCCAGTGGGAGAGGCCCACAGAACCCACAGTGACGGCCGTGGACGCTGCATGTGACTCTCCTACCGACTCAAGGAAACTCCCCACCTGTTGGAAAGCACGGCCTTGGCTGCCCTCAGCAAGCGCAGGAGGGCAGCAGGCAAGCTCGTGGGGAGGGGGAGAGGCCGTACACGGGGGGCGGTGGCTGGGGCACCCTGAAGTCTTGAGACCCCAGCGGGCCGCCCTGGGCCAGCAACCAGAGCTGGGGCCTGTGAAGTCCAGCCCCTGACACTGGCCCCAATGAAAAGCAAAAATCAGAGCATGGGCAGCCCCAAAGCCTCTCAGTGAACAGGCCACGCTGCTGCCCACAGGGGACAAGCAGGAGGGACAGCTCAGGCCAGGGGTGGAAGTCAGCAGCCACACTCGGGCTGGGCAGGCAGAGAGGACCTGCATGGCTTCATCTGAGGTGCGATGCAGAACCGTTTTTGCATTTCCTCCGATTTTAAACCCCAGGCACCAAAACCAACAGCATCCCAGCAACACTGAGCACACTCCTGAGTTCACACACTCACCGAGAAAAGGGAGCAGAGCCCAGCACCCAGGAAGAGTGCCCTTGCTCACATGCCCTGGAAGACCCATCAAGGCCCAGGCAGGTGGCATTACCTGTGGCCACTTGCCAGCCGACTGTGCCCGCCTCCTGATCTCTTCCACCGTCTTCCTGCGAGAGTCCTGGTCTGACCGAGACACGAACACGGGCCGGATGTACCTGATCAGAGCTGGGAGAGCCGGCCACGGCCTCAGTGAGTGGTGTGGACACACAGGGGCTGGGGCAGGCCTGTGGCACCCACCGGCTGTCCAGGACCTGGCAGTGAGCCATCAGGAGATACCAAGCCTCCCCCAAGCTTAGCCAACGGCAGGAAGCCCGCAGCCTATGGGGCTGCAAACACAAGGGTTCCTGAGACCCAGGACGGGGAGCAGGAGTTCCCGGGACAGGGGACAGTGACCAGTGACGGGGAGCAGGGACGAGAGCGGGAGGAATGGGAGGAAGGGACGGGGAGCAAGGGATGGGAGCAGGAGTACCCGGGACGGGCAGCGAGGAACAGAAGCCTGGCCACCCCATTAGCAGAGGAGGAGGCTCCAGGGCTCCCGCACACAGGGCTTGGACCCCCGCCCCCGCTGTCTGCTGAACTCTGTCCCCTAGAAGGCCAGCTGAACCCTAACTCAGGATACCTGTGAAAGTGGCCCTGCGCGACTGGGTTACCCAGAGATCACCTGGGCCATGAGGTCCTAAGGCGAGGACTGGTGTCCTCATAGGAAAATAGGGACTGCGGCAGCGCCCAGCAGAAGAGCGGCCATGGGGCCTCCCTCAGCCCCAGTGGGTCTGCGGCTGCCAGCACCGTGGGAGACCCCAGCGGGGTCTCCGTGGGCTTCCAGAGTGGCGAGGGGACAATCCCTACTGTGGCACGCTGCCATGGCAGCCCCAGAAATGCACACAGCCCTGGCCTGGCCACTGCACCACGGGGCCTGCACCATGTGTGGCAGGTCAGGGCACGAGACCTGCGGCGGGCAGAACCATGCTCAGCTGAAGGTGGCGGGGCCCACGAGCACCACTCTCCTGCCAGAGCTCGTAGAGGGGCACAGAAATGGCCGTCCCCAGGTGGGTCTCCTGGCCGAGGAGAGGGCGAGTGTGCCAGCCTGGCGGCTTCCTGCCCTGCAGGCTCATGGGCCACCCCGTCCCCAGCCTGTGGGCTGCTTTATCTCCTGCTCCCGTGGGCCACCCTGTCCCCAGCCTGTGGCCTCAGGCCCCTGGCTCAGCACTCTCGGGACTTGTAAGGCACAGCATTGTGTGACTTATTCTTTCTTGGAGGAAAAGTTTACTGAAGAAGAAATTCCACGGCGCTCGCAGTTACCCGCTGGGCCCCTGGACGCTTACAAAGCTGGAGACACACGTGGCCTCAGTGGTTGTGTTTTTCCGCATCTTGAGTCACTGGCTCAGCCGACGTCCTGGAACCACTCATTCTGAGCACCCAAGGGAACGAAGGGGCGTGACCCTGCCCAGGGCGATGTGAGGGGAAGGAGGGAGTCTCTCAAGGAACCCTGTGATGGCCCCGAGGCATGCCAGGGCTCTGGACGCAGCACCTCCCTAGTCCTGAGGGTGCAGCTGAGGTTCTGGAATTCTCCTTCCTGTCTCCAGTGCCAAGGAAAGCCACCCCCAGGGGAATCCCCTGCTCTCAGCCCAGTGCCAGGAGGTGCAGAGCGAGGAAACGGGGGTGAGCCACACCCGGGGTGGGTTCAGAGTGGTCACTGGGCGGACGTCCCCCACCATGCTCCCAAGGGCAGGAGGAATAAGCACAGCTGGAGGGGCTGTGCCTGCCTGGGTAAGGCCTCTCCTGCCCATGCCCACACAGGGTCATGACGGCACGCTCGACTGGCTGGCCCCTAGGTTGTGCAGGGGACCCTGAGGAAACAGCTAGGACCCTGGTTGGTGGCTCTCCCTGGGACCGGGGGGTCCAAAGTGCCAGCTCAGAACACTCAGTCAGCTCTTTAACAGGGCTGCCCAGGGGCCAGGAGCCACGAGAGCCACGCGGGCTCCCTGCCAAGTGCCCTGAGTTCCTGCACCATAGGAAGAGCCCTCAGCTGCGTCCAGGGACAGTGCCCTCCTGCCACCTCGACCCTCTGAGCCAGCAGGGGGCGGAGTGTGGCCGCCGGGCTACATTTCAATTCTAATTAACGTCTCTGTTTGCTTTGGACACAGTCTGGCCGTGCTACCTAGGCTGGCCTTGAACTCCTGGCTGAGAGATCCTCCTGCCTCAGCCTCCTGAGTAGTGGGCTACCAGGTCTGGGTCCTCAACGTTTTTAATAGTCATCTGTCACTATCTCTCACTCTTTGGTCTCTGCATTGTCCACGAAATGACGGATAAAGGCACAGGCTAGAGGAGGGACCTGCACACAGTGGACACAGTGAAGATGGCTCCTCCTGACTGCGGCAGGGGCGCGTGGAGCGGGACTGACCACACAGCACCAGCAGCTCAGCTGACGTGCACTCTCCACAGCCTGCACCTGGGTGTGGAGGGCAGGCCCCCAGCCATGTGCTCAAAGCCCAAGTGTGCGTGAACACTGGCGTGACGATGTCCCCCGGACCAGCCTCCCCCTGGAAATGCACCTCCCGGGCCTGAAGCCCGACAGGAAGAGCCAGAGCAAGCCCACCCTGGCAGACCCTACAGGAAGAGCCAGAGCAAACCCACCCTGGCAGACCCTACAGGAAGAGCCAGAGCAAACCCACCCTGGCAGGCCCTACAGGAAGAGACAGAGCAAGCCCACCCTGGCAGGCCC